TTTAAACTGTTTAAAGGAAAGAAATAAGAAACTTTTAATAAATCAATATATTAGTTTGAAGCAGATAAAACAAAGATCAATTATAAACTTGAAAACACAAATTAGACACCCTTAATAATGATTTATTATATAATATGTATAAAAGATTAAATAACAGATATTAAATCTGGAAAAAAGTTAATTAAATTCATAAAAAACAAACATGTTGATGTTTTCGGAGAGAAATTATTAGATTATTATTAATTATTAGACTCATATAATATGAAAATTTACAGTAAAATATGTAAATTATTTAATAATAATAATAATAATAATATTAATAATAATAATACAAAATATATATATATGAAAATAGTATTAATAAGAGCAATCTGCGTTATGTTGATGTTTTATGAGATTATTATATTATTTTAAATGATTAGATATAATATAATATAGAAATGTACAGTAAAATTATGTAAAATATTATTAATAATAAAATAAAATATATGTTCACAGCATGAAAATAAAAATAACAACAATCTGCGTTATAATAAATATTATATTACAACTATATTAAATAAAATAAACACATATTATCGGTTTAAATATCGATTAATTCAGTTTTAAAGGGGAAAAAAAACCGTGAGAAAAAAAGCCCTGCTCAAACTCTGACCTTTGACCCCGCGGCGTCCGTCCCTGCTAACCCCGCCCCTCTGCAGAGACAGAACGGGAGCTCCATTCAAACAAACCGAGCTCCGCGCCCCGGGATGCGACAGTCGCTGTAGGAAGAGAGAAAGGCGGCAACAGCAGCAGCAGCAGCACCGACACACTTCAGCTCCAAGCTCCGGACAGCAGCACCGACAGACAGGCAGACACACAGACAGGCAGCGGCACAGACAGACAGGCAGACAGACAGTCAGACAGACAGACAGAGCGCAGTCTGCTAGCAGGAGGCTAACGGCTACCACCGACATGGCGAGCGCCTCGTACCACATCTCCAACCTGCTGGAGAAAATGACCTCCAGCGACAAAGACTTCAGGTAAAACAGCGGAGCACCAACGGCCGCGGCGGCGCGAGCTCACCGCGGCTTCCGTTAAGTAAACGTTATAGACGTCACGAAGCTCCCAACGGCTCGTCCTCCATGTTAGACAGCGGAGAGTGGACGGCTAACGGCTAACGGCTAACGGCGGCCTCAGGCTAATGCTAATGCTAACGGCTAAACCCATGCTAATGCTAATGCTAACGGCTAAACCCATGCTCATGCTAATGCTAACAGCTAGCCTCATGCTAATGCTAACGGCTTAAACTCCATGCTTAATGCTAACCGCTAGGCCTCATGCTAACTGTCAGTGTTAATTGGCTAACTTGCTAAAAAAACGCTGCCAGCCTGTCCTGATCAAATCGTCCACATCGTTAGCTGGCTGCTAGTTAGCGTTTGATTGTGACAGCGGGGTTAAACTATGCCTGTTTGTGAGCCAACCCCCCCCCGCCCCGTGCCCCCCCTAAACCTTGAACAGCTGGAGCTGCCGGCGTGTAGCGTTGTGTGCTAGCTTGGGGTTAAGCCCCTCCCGCACCACCATAAGCTTGTCTGTGCTGCCGCATAGCTAAGGCGTGATGTGAGGCCTAACTCTTTCTGCTGTCGGTGTTTATGGGGGCGGGGGGGGGGTGGGCAGTGTGTGTGTCGTGTGTCGTGTGTGTGTGTGTGTGTGCGCGCGCGTCTATCAGGCTGTAATCGATCAGAGCTGATCAACACAAACAGTAAACAATAAATCTGTAAATATGTTTGTTTACTGTTTGTTTGTTTGTTTGTTTGGGACCTTGTGTGGAAATGTCACGTCATGATGTATGTTCCGTAAAGATGCACTCTGTTGTTGTTGTTATTGATCCGAGCAGAGCCGATAATGTGTATCAGTGTGATAATGGATCATTGATCATTGATCAGCTTCAGTCAGTCTGTGTTCTGTCCCTTTAAACGACAGTTAACCTGTAATACTCTGTGTTGATATTTAATAGATCCATTGATTACCTGAGTAATGGATCAGTCAGTGTTTGTTGCCTGTAGGGAGAGGACTGACCTTATTGCTTCGTTATTGATTCCCTGATTAAAGTCGGACACATCCTGGAGAACCTGGAGAACCTGGAAGTGTAGGAGAACCTGGACTCTGCTGTCACTGAGTCTGTAGGAGCCGTGTTTGGTTTCAGGCTTCCAGCTGACAGTGACGCGGCTGTATTTGGGTTTTATTGATCGGAGGTGATCAGCGGACTGAGGAGAGTAAATCAGCGCGAGCAGACGCAGTTTAAAGGATAATAATAATATAATAATAATATAATAATATAATATAATAATAACACGTCTTCGCTCCGTTAACGTGAAGATTTACCGGCTGTATTTTGAAGTCAGATCTGAACACAGTGACGTTAAAGTGTTTGATTCACCTGTCTGCAGCAGCAAGTCTCTGCGTGTTGCTTTCTGTTCAGTAACTGAAAGCAGCGGCTGCCTGGAGCTTTAACCAAACTGAAAACAGCTCGCGTGATTTGGAAAGTAGAAGAGCAGCAGTTGGTGTGTTCACTTCTGCAAAGTTTGAATCTTTAAGCACTGAAGAGTCACAGGAGGGACTGAGCTGCGGAGATATCGGCCACATGTGATCCTTTGATCCTTTCAGTTCATCTGTGAAGCATCGGTACTGAACGTGGTCCGATTCCAGCTGCTGGAGGTGAAGATGTGCTGCTTTTCTTTCTGTTTGGTGATCATTAATGTGAAGATTCAGTTGTTTTGGACTGTTGGTCGAGCAGACGATGACTGAAAGTAATCCCTGCGTTTATCAGCTCGTGTTTTACGTTAAAGTTGATTAAATTGTTCTTTAAACAGTGTGTCTGTGCCAGGCTTTGATCTCCGTGTGTGTCTGAGCTCCGTCCCTTCGTGTGGAGCCGCCCTCGTCTGTGAGCCTCTCGGGGACGATCGCGACCGAATTTAACAGCACAACGAATCGGTTTCACCTCCGACAGCCGCTCTCCCGCTCGCGACCACGAAGCTGTGAAAGTGTTCGGCTCGTCAGCATCAATCGACTGCTGCTGACCCGAGCAGACGCCAGAGGACCGTTACACTCAACATCTGGATTACTTGTTATATTCTACCTCTGATGTATTTCAGCTTCCTCTAAAGACTTTACTCTGGTCGCTGTGGTTGTCTGAGGTTTGCTGAAGACGTTAAAACATTGATATTAAAGTGAGTGTTTACAGTTTATATCAGCAGCTCTGAGAGTCCGTTATTAATCCTCAGAAGTGCATCAGGTTTACGTTTCTCCTCTAATGAACAACTAAACTCTTAAAGATAAAAAGCATCCTGATCCGACTGAATGAACAGTAGGAAACACCCTGCTGTGATTATTCTCTCAGATTCTAATTGAAACATTAATAACTGTTTAAATCCTGACGGCGTGGAGAAGAGCTTTGTACATGAGGCTCTTTATTGTGATGCTGCTGCGGCCGGTTTGGTTTCCACCGTGCTGATGAAGAGGGAAGGAGCCCGGCACATAAAGCGTTCTCTGTGATTCAGTTCAGACACAAGTTGAAGCAGCTTTTTGTGATTGTTCCGCAGCGTTAACAGTGAAATAAACTCAGCTGTTCCTCCAGTTTAACTTTCACCGTCTGGTTACAGCTGTGTTTCTTTGTAAATCCATTTATTGTCAGTCTCCCAGAACGTTTACGTCTCTTTAATTAAAACCTGATTGAACTGTGACACCTGCTGCTCCTCTGTGTCTCAACATGTCGCTCAAATGTCAGTTATGATTTAAGTGCTTTACCCTAACGGATCGTATTGATTAGATGTTTTTCCCTCCGATATTCGGTTGTTATTTAAAATCCAGCTCTGTTTCTGTCTCCAGGTTTATGGCCACTAACGACCTGATGACGGAGCTACAGAAAGACTCCATCAAACTGGACGACGACAGCGAGAGGAAGGTGAGTCTGAATCCAGTTTATAGCTGCTGGTATCCATCGCACTGCTCCAGGCTCGTTCTCCAGTCATGGAAACACCTGGAAATTGATTAAAATGAGCAAATATCCTG